TTTTTTTTTTTTGTCGGTCATGGGGATTGAACTCTGGGCCTGGGCGCTGTCCCTCAGCTCTTCAGCTCAAGGCTAGTGCTCTACCACTTGAGCTATACAACGCCACTTCCAGTTTTCTGGTGGTTTATTGGAAAAAGAGTTTCACAGACTTTCCTGCCTAGGCTGGCTTTGAACCACAATCCTCAGATCTCAGCCTCCTGAGTAGCTAGGATTACAGGTGTGAGCCACTGGTGCCTGGCTTTCATTTGGTTTTTGAGATAAGCTGTCTATGTAGCCTAGGCTGGTCTCAAACACATGATCCTCCTGCCTCAGCCTCCCAGCAACAATACAGAAATCAAGTACTATTCCCCTTTATATTGCAAAATCCAAAAATATAATTATACTCTTAATACCAATAAAAAAGTAAAAAGTACTGAGAAAGAAATTCCATTTATTGCATGTATACACATTTAAATATGCCTTTAAATTCCTAAAGATGGATTTAGATAGTGTAACTCAATAGAAGAGAGCTTGCCAGACATGTACAAGGTTCTGGGTTCAATCACCAGCCAGTGGTTACCTTAAAAGGAAGGAAGATGGTGGATTTAGAGAAAGGCTTTAATGTTTTCTCTATTTCCTTTTTGGCTGGGGTGCTGTCCCTGAGCCTCACTGTGCTCAAGACTAGTGCTCCACTTGAGCCACAGGGCCTCTTCTGGCTTTCCTGAGTAGTTTATTGGAGATGAGCGTCTCATGGGGACTTGACTACCCGGGGTTGGCTTCAAACCTTGATCCTCAGATCTCAGCCTCCTGAGTAGTTAGGATTATAGCTGAGAACCACCAGCACCTGGCTTGTTTTCTCTATTTCTCTTATTTCTTAGATTTTTTTTTTTTTTCGGTCGTGGGGCCTGAACTCTGGGCCTGGGCGCTGTCCCTCAGCTCTTCAGCTCAAGGCAAGCGCTCTATCACTTGAGCTACAGTGCCACTTCCAGTTTTATACTTTATGACAGAAAAATGAATGACCACTTTAAAAACAAAAAAAGAGAGGACAAATAATAAAACAACACAAATAGCCAAAAGCTTTGGTTGGAAAATGATAAATCTTATGGTGACCATAAAAATGAAAAATAAGGGCTGGGAAGGTGGCTCAGTGGTAGAGCACTTGCCTTGCATGCCTGAGGCCCTGGGTTCGATTCCTCAGCACCACATAAGCAAAGAGAAAAAAGCCAGAAGTGGCACTGTGGCTCAAGTGGTAGAGCGCTAGCCTTGAGCTGAAGAGCTGAGGGACAGCGCCCAGGCCCAGAGTTCCGGCCCCCCCACCGGCCCAAAAAAAAAAAAAAGAAAGAAAAATAATAAGACAGCTTTTTGCTGTGTGTGGATGGCTAATATCTATAATCCTAACTACTCAGGAGGCTAAGATTTGAGGAGGAAGGATCATAGCTAACAAGGTCAGGAAAATCCATGAGTCCTTCATCTCTAATTAACCACCAAAAAACCATAAGTGGAGGTGTGGTTCAAGTGGTAGTACCTAGGCCATGAAATCAAGCCCCAATCCTGGCAAATAATAATAATAATACAGCTTTTCACCTACAAAACTAGCTATCACAGAATAATGTGTTGGGAAGTACATGAAGAAATAACTGATACATGGTAGGAATGTAAATTGGAAGGTAACCTGGAAACAGGCAATATAGCTTTTAAAATACATTGTCTTCAATACATAGTCTACCTACAAGAATGTACCCCAAGGAAGTAATCATAGTACTCATTAACATTTGACAGTGAGCTTACTCATCCAGTATTGTTTATGATAGCAACAAAGCAAAACAAAAAATCTTGGCAACAATTTAACCAAAAAATACTTGAGGAGAATTCTTTGAGGCCATTAAGAGTGATATAGAAAATATTAACTCATTCAAGAAATGTTCATAATAGGTCATAAAAATAGAAAAACATAGATTTAAAAAGTTCTAAAATTTGGGCTGGGAAGGTGGCTCAGTGGTAGAGCGCTTGCCTTGCATGCCTGAGGCCCTGGGTTCAATTCCTCAGCACCACATAAGCAAAAAGAAAAAAGCCGGAAGTGGCGCTGTGGCTCAAGTGGTAGAGTGCTAGCCTTGAGCTGAAGAGCTGAGGGACAGCACCCAGGCCCAGAGTTCAGGCCCCATGACCGAAACCCCCCCCCACAAAAAAAGTTCTAAAATTTATTATCTCGGCTAAGGTTCTCATTAAGTTTTATTTTTATGGACTAAATCTTTGTATGTTTAATTGAAAAACTCAAAAGCATTCCTTCCTACCTCCCCAATAGTTTTATATATGAGACTAGTCTTTAAAAAGACAATGAAGAAATATACCTATTATATCTTCTAATTTATAAAAACAATAACATGTAGATGTGTCCTCATATGTACATATGCATGTGTGTGCAGAAACATTAACAGGAAAGAAACTGATAAATTCATGTGCTAGGGGTGTAGCTGAGTTGTTTGTGCTTAGCATGCGTGAAGCACTTTGTTCAATCCCCTGAACCAAACAAAAAAAAAAAAGAAATGCATATGACTGCCAAAGAGATTAAAGGAAGGTGGGCAGAAAAGAAGGAAGCAACACAAAAGATTCTAAAAATGGCTTCTTTATCTGCAATAGTTTAGTCACTTTAAAAAAAAAAAAAAAGAAAAAGTGGCTGGGAAGGTGGCTTAGTGGTAGAGTGCTTGCCTTGTATGCATGAGGCCCTGGGTTCGATTCCTCAGCACCACATAAGCAGAAAAAGCCAGAAGTGGCGCTGTGGCTCAAGTGGTAGAGCACTAGCCTTGAGCTGAAGAGCTGAGGGACAGCGCCCAGGCCCAGCGTTCAGGCTTACTACTGGAAAAAGACCACCTGAAATAAACAAGATTTTAAGTCTATTCTAGGGGGCCCTTGAGTAATTTTTTTCAAATGGGTTTTTAAGAATCATTAAGTATGAATGGGTTGGGGGTGTAGCTCAACGCTAGAATGCTTCATAGCAGGCACAAGTCCTGTGTCTAACTCCCAGCATTAAAAAAAAAAATTGTCAAGGACGGTGATTGTTCAGGTCAAGTTATTGAGATGACTAAAGTCAGACCCTCTAATCGAAGCCTTTGTATTTCCCAGGCTGAAGTTTATCTTTGGCTCATCAGCCATCCAGGCCTTGGACCTAGTTGATCGACAGTCTGTCACTTTGATCTCATCGCCCAGTGGACGTTGTGTTTACCAGGTAGATGTTTGGAGGTGGGGATGATCTTAAGAAAAAACCCTAAGACACAAATCTCTTTATGAATTTCTGAAAGCTGCAACCTTCTTGAAGTTTTTCCTGGGGCACTGAAAATTTTTGAGCCAATTTAGTAAAATTAACATAAATAATTTTACTTACTTGACAAAACTATACTGCTATGATATAAAATAATGTTTTGATGCATGTACACCTCCTGAGAGAGCTTAAAGCAGGCTATTAGTGTTTCTATCTCACATACTCATTTTTTGTGATAAAAACACTTAAAATGTACTTTTAGGAAATGTCCAAGTATACAATGCTTTGTTATTAATGATAGTCATAATATTGTATAATAGATCCAAACTTACTCTTCCTGCATAACTGAATTTTTTTTTTTAAATTTTTTTGGTCATGGGGCCTGAACTCTGGGCCTGGGTGCTGTCCCTCAGCTCTTCAGCTCAAGGCAAGCGCTCTACCACTTGAGCCACAGCACCACTTTCAGTTTTCTGGTGGTTTATTGGAGATAAGAGTCTCACAGACTTTCCTCCCCCAGCTGGCTGTGATCCTCAGATCTCAGCCTTCTGAGTAGCTAGGATTACAGGCTTGAGTCACTGGCACCCAGCTAACTGAAATTGTTGACCAATATTTCCTTAATTTCTTCTTCTCTACCCCTAGTTTCTTGGAAACCACTATTCTACTTTCTTGCTTCTATGGGTTCAACTAGTTTAGAAATCCATATGAGATCATGTGCATTTTTCCTTCTTTGCTGGTTTATATCACAATATAGTCTCACTAGGCATTTAGTAATTAAATATGACCTATTAACTATACTCACTATCATTGTATGGATCTAACAATAATGTAGAAGAGGCTCATCTGTTGTCCAGGCTTTGCTGAAGACTAGGCTGGGAGAGATTTTTTTTATTGGATTCTGATTTATTTACAATGAACCTCTTAGCACTTAGACTGTATCAATTAACTCATTGAGAAACCATAGCAGTTAATTCCTGGGTAGTAAATGAATTGGGGAAAGCTTACTTTGAGAATATGTGCCTTTGCTTAGTGAGTTAACCTGCCATTCCACATTGTAGCCTAAGTTTATTGACCTGGAAAAACACCAGGTGTTTCATTAAGGAAAATGGAGTACATTTGGATGCTATAGTTACAGTTAAAACTTTTGTTTGGTATTTTCCTACTCAGAAGAGACTATCTGGAAGGAGCATTTTCTCATGGTGAATAATCAGTCTCTTAATAATCAGTTCCTTAATATATTATTTGTATATGAAGAGGTATTTCTGTTTTATTGTTTATGTAGTTAAAATACTGAAAACTCCAGAACTGTGCCTTGACTCAGAATTTTGGTCTCAGTTGCATTTGTAAGTGTAACACTTGACCTGGGTAAGCACATCCTTACCATCCTCCATTTCTGTGATCTCATTGTTAGTTACATCTTAAAGTTCTTGTTTAATTTTTTAAAATTAACTTAGTGTCCCTTTCTGTTTTGGTAGTCAACATGAATTGTGAATTGTTTAGCTTTCTGTCATTCACATCTTATGTTATAAAAGAGTTAAATTCCTAGGTCTGCGGTTGTCAGCATGGGCTTTAAATTAAGTGAAATTATAGAAATCTACAAGTTCACATTAACCTTAATGGTTGATTTGTCTAGTAATACGGTAAGGATTTAGCTTCATTCAGAGGTTGTATACAGTAATAAAAGCTGTGTCACCTATCACCTTGATACCCCACTAGTTATCTTTCCATAAATCAACCTTTATTCTCATAGGTCAGCCCGCATAAACTTACCTCCAGGTATAATGTGTACTTATTCTAAAGTCATCATTTTGTTGCTGAGTTGCTTTTGAGAAACTTGGTTCACTTAGGAAGGGAGATAGTTGGTCAGGAGAAGCTAAGGAATGCCACAAGAACAGTGACCTCCAAATATGACAGACTTACAAAAACGGAGGTTTACATCCACTTGTGTATGAAAAGTTGATTGCAGCTGTGCTCCAAATCACATTTATTCAGGATCTCAGTTTTGGTGAATTAATATGTGGAGTGTTGTAGAAGTCATAGCAGAGAGAAAAGAACATGATATGCTACAAGTTTCTGCTTGGCTATTTACATTGCATTTGTTAATGGAAGTCACTTAGCCAGTGTATTTTTAGTAAGACAAGAATGAATAATCTTTTCTCCAGAGAGTAGTGCCAAACAGAAGAATAAATAATACAGCTTGGGCTGGGAAGGTGGCTCAGTGGTAGAGCACTTGAATTGCATGCCTGAGGCCCTGGGTTCGATTTCTCAGCACCACATAAGCAAAAAAAGAAAAAAGCCGGAAATGGCACTGTGGCTCAAGTGGTAGAGCGCTAGCCTTGAGCTGAAGAGCTGAGGGACAGCGCCCAGGCCCAGAGTTCAGGCCCACGACCAGACCCCCCCCAAAAAAAATTTAAAAAATAATGCAGCTTGAGACTACAAAGTATCTTAAGAGACTTGGAGCAGTCATAAAATAAGAACTAAGCCAGGCATCAGTGGCTCATACTTATAATCTTTTTTACTCAAGACACTGAGATTTGAGAATCACAGTTCAGAGCCAGCACTCGCACACAAATCCTTCAGATTCTTATTTCCAATTAGCCTGTAAAAAGCTGGAAGTGGAGCTGTGGCCTGAGTGGTAGAACACTAGCCTTGAGGGAGATAATGAGTTCAAGCTCCAGTGCTAGCGCACGCACACACTCTCTCTCTCCCTCTCTCTCTCTCTGTCTCTCTCTCTCTCTCTCTCACACACACACACACACACACACACACAAAACTGGGGCTGGGAATGGGGCTTAGTGGTAGAATGGTTACCTAGCATGTATGAAGATTTGATTTCTCAGAACCACATAAGAGAAAAAGCTGGAAGTGGTGCTGTGGCTCAAGTGGTAGAGCACTAGCTTTGAGCACAGAGAAGCTCATGGCCATAGCGTAGGCCCTGAGTCCTCAAGCCCCAGGATCTGAAAAAAATAAAATAAAATAAATAAAACTGTACCTGTGAATTGATGATTGCAGACATGGGCTGCCCTCCTTGGAACGTAACTGAAGTCATAGCAGACTTCCTCCAGAGAGGTTTCTACAAGTCTAGTCATGGTCTTGAGTATCTTTTTTTTCCCTGCATATTTCTTTTCTAAAATCTCATTTTTTGGGGGGAGAAACATTCCAGATTATGAATGGAAGTACTAGGCACAATTCCTGTAAAAGAAGGTCATTTTTCCATTGAAGGGGAAGGAACTTCATTAAATTATCCCTAAGGTCAATTTCCAGTTTTGAACATTTTTAATGCAGATTTTTGCCTGATAAATTGGGTTCATTCATTGTTCACTGCTAGATTAAGAAGAAACAAACTTAAAATACTCTCTTTACTGTATTTACTGCCTCAAGCAGTTGAACACTTGAATTTGAATCTCAGTCAGCCTTTGAAGGAATCAGGCAAGAGGCTCTGTGAAATTTGCCCTGATCCCTATTCAGCATAGTCCAGGTAGCACTCAGATGGATTGAGGATCCACAACAAGAAGGAACCACTGAATGAATCATCTCTCAATACAGAATCAAAGGCTTATTACTCCTTACATTGAAATCTGGAAAGAAAAAGCATGGAAAATCACTAAAGGAAGAACTCTTAGCCATTAGTAAATAGTTTGGGCATCCAAGGATCAGTCATGTCACTTTGAATACTGGTGAGCTTTCTTTAGATTCCAACAGCAAAAAGTCTGCTATAATGCTGTCTCTCCAGTGAAAGTCTCCCAGATACATTGGAAACTTTCTCTGTTGATAATGAGTGGTATCCGAGACAAGTTATAACACAATAAGAAATATATAAGATGTGATTTTTAATACTCAATTTAAAACAGCTAAAATCCTTAATGGATACAGTAGTCATCTTACCCATCATTGGCCTTTCCTGGTCATCTAGCAACCCACAGTGAATTCTGTCAACTTGGTTAAAAAACTTCACCAAAATGGCTGTCTTGTGACCCATAAAACAAAAAGACCTGAATTTGCTATAATTCTTCAACAGTGAACATTACCAGTTGCCTTATTGTGTGGGGAGTAGGTTGAGCTGACATAATTTTTCTGTAAAAAACTTGACTTTTTTTTTTTTAGAGGTCATAGGGCTTGAACTCTGGGTTTGGGCTCTGTCCTTGCGCTCTTCAGCTCAAAGCTAGCACTCTACCACTTGAGCCACAGCAGCACTTCTGGTTTTCTATTGATTTATTGGAGGTAAGAGTCTCATTGACTTTCCTGCTCTGGCTGGCTTTGAACTGCGATCCTCAGATCTCAGCCTCCTGAGTAGCTAGGATTACAAGCTTGAGCCACTGATGCCCAGCTAAAACTTGACTTTTTCATTTAAATTACCATGTTAATTCCTAAACTAATTTGAAGGCTCTATGGTAAATTTGTGACAATTTATTGTGAACTAGTCCTTGGGTATTTCTGCTTCCCTTGAATACTAATAATAACCTTGTATTTCCAGTTTGGAAATTAGGAATGAAACTCTGTGTTAGTCAGCTGCCTATCAGTGTAACATGCCTGAAATGAATCAACTTGAAAGAAGAAAAGGTTTGTTTTGGCTCCCTGTTTGAGAGGTTTTAATCAAAGATTTTGGCTACTTGGTAGTAGAGACTTCTCCAACAAGTCTGTCTAATCACATACAAACAAATCTTACTTTATCTCTCTTTTAAAAAAATTCCTTGTGACTGCCATCAGCACTCCCACACACTTACCTGTGTTCGCCTTCCATCCCGAGAGATGAGCAGGCAGCTCTGGGCTTGCCTCTTCCTGAGACCTCCATCCTGAGCACTGAGTCATCCCTTTCACAAGATTCCTTGCTGTATTTACTCTTCTCACTCTCAAATGCTTTTCAAAAGTCCTTCTCTCCTTTTTTATCCCAAGACCTAGCCACTCTTTACCTGTTCCCATGCTTTCTTGAAGTATGTGATGGAAGCTTTAGCAATGTATGCACATGCTGTGAAATACCAAAGGCTAAGAAACCCCACAATGAAATGTGGATGAGAGACGCTTTCCCTTCACCTCTTTGGATATCCCTGGTATCAGCCCCATGAATCACTAGACATAGGAACAAAATGGTTTGTGAAGATGGTTTAACTAGCCTGAAACTCTTCAGTTTCATTGTCTAAAGTCCTAAAGGGCAGAGAGCATGCAGAGAGATGGGTGTGTCCATGCTGAAGGGAAGAGAAGAAAAGTTTCCCCCTTTGCATAAAATACTGCAGTTTTTTCCAGTGCAGTCTGCAGCACTGAGTCACCAGATGGATAAAGTCAGGGCGGGGTGGGGGTGAGGTCTGATCCCATCTGTTCTGTTTTTTTCTAGGTACTTGGAAGTTCTGGTAAAACATACACATGTTTGGCTTCTTGTCATTATTGTTCCTGTCCTGCATTTGCCTTCTCAGTGCTGCGGAAAAGTGACAGCCTACTGGTAAGGAAGGAAAGGCCGTTGACACTGTAGACAAATCAAGGGAGAAACTATCAGCCCTTATTTTGTGGTTTAAGAGTTTCACAAAATGGGAATTGTACTGTGTGTTGAAATAGTGGTTTCATGCCCTCATCTTCAGTCATCTCTCTGTGTCTAGCCTCCTGAAATGCAGTGTCATTTTTAGAATTACATAAATTTCCTGCTTTTTCATATAAAAGGCCACAGATGATGTTTTGGGGAGAACAACAGGGTGATCCTGGACATAGGTACTGGGAATTCAGGTGGCCCAACAAAAACAGGAACTAAATTGGATGCTGGCAACTGAATATCCCCAACTCGAGATAGGGCTTGTATGTTCTCGCTGCCTGAAAGGCAGGCTGGCACCTAACATGAGGCAGGAGTGCCTTTTCCTGTCCCTCTAAGCGTATGCTAATTTTATCAGTCTAGAGCATCAAGCAGGAACAGCACATATCCACACACTTATTCCATAGTGAAGGAAAGGCACTACCGTCCTAAGAGCTGGGTGCTATTTCTTAAGTCTTGACAAAGAAGAAAATAATAGGGTCTGCCCCATTCTTCCACTTCTTTTACACTGTTAGCTTCTAAAACATCTCTTGGGAACATCTCTTGCCAGGTTGGCTATCCCATTTCTCAGAAGGCCACTGTCTTTAACTGATGAATCATAAGTATGTTTCCTCAACTTCCAACCCTGCCCCACCCCAGAAATATGACAGTGGTTAAAGGAATAGCCCATAGTTTCTGAACATATGGATAAAACAGGGTTAAGTGCTGTCCTCAAGGCGTGGTTGTCAAATTTAAATGAGATCATCTGTGAGGAGAGCTGAGCAGCCTTGCAGTGAGTGCCGCAAGGAACAGTAGCCAGTGCTATGATGGCTTTTTGAAGGCAAGGAGGAGCCTTAGCTGAAAGCACAGACCACTTCCTCATCCTCTTCTTAGAGGGTGATAATGACACTGGTCAGCTGTGGCCCTGTCTGTTCCTAATAAGTTTGTGCTTTGTATTCCAGTGCAAGCATCTCTTGGCAGTTTATCTTTGTCAGGTTATGAGGGCCTGCCAGCAGGTCAGTGTCTCTGACAAGCAACTGACTGACATGCTGATGGAGAAGAAATGAGAAGCAAGAAAAGTGCAGATGGAACATCATCCTTGAAAACAAAAGCCCATCAAGAACTGCATTTAACATGTCACAGATCACAAGAAAAAGAAGTGAAAGTGATCATCCAGAGACTTCTTGTTAGTGTCCCTTTTCTTTGATAGGCTTCAGGAGGGACTTTGGGTGGGAGGTGTGAGATATGGAGGGTATGTGTATAGCTTGGAACCCTGTGCAGTCTTCTCATGGAAACTCGTCTCTACAGGAATTGAGTATTGCATATTCAAAGAAATATCATGCTGTATTCACAACATGGACTTTTTTTCTGTGTGTGTATTGATACGGACACTTGAACTCAGGCCTCTGTGCTCTTGCTTGTCATTTTCACTCAAAGCTGGTGCTCTACTACTTGAGTCACACCTCCACTTCGGGAGATGAGTCTCTTAGACTTTTCTGTCAGGTTGACTTCAAACCATGATCCTTAGATCTCAGCCTCCTGAGTAGCTAGGATTACAGGCATAAACCACAGGTGCCTAGCTTACAACATAGATATTTGACTAAATTACTAGTAATTCAGTTTCACAAACTTTTTTCCTGTACTGACCTCAACTAGTCTCTGCCTCACAAATAGCAGGATTACAGGCAGGAGCCATAGGCACCAGGGTCCACTTACATTTTTAAGCAACTTTCAGGGTAAAATAGACAATAGGTACAGTTAGTTGTACAACAAGAAGTAACCTAAGCTTTTTTTTTAAGCTTCATTTTTATTTCACTGAAATATACAGTTATATCTTTGCTAAGAAAATTTTTTAACACCTTAGTCCCAACAAGTAAGTTTAACTTGAACTTTTTTTTTTTTTTTGGTCGGTCATAGGGCTTGAACTCTGGGCTTGGGCGCTGTCCCTCAGCTCTTCAGCTCAAGGCAAGTACTCTACCGCTTGAGCCACAGCGCCACTTCTGGTTTTTTAGTGGTTTATTGGAGATAAGAGTATCATGGACTTTCCTGCCAGGGCTGGCTTTGAACCGAGATCCTCAGATCTCAGCCCCCTGAGTGGCTAGGATTACAGGCGTGAGCCACCTGCACCCAGCTTAACTTGAACTTTGAAAGAAGCAAGTTCTGAGTTCTAGCAGAGGTAATCCAATAGAGGCGGGATCCCATTTCTCCAGTTTCTTTGTTGATGATAATTCTACTTAAACATTTAGGAGAGTATCATTCCCTAAATACAGCAGTTTCTGGGTTGAAGAACTAACTTTTAGTTTTCTTGGTTACCATTCTAGAAACAAGTATACATTAGTATAGTCAACTTTGATTTTTCCATTTTACCTTTAAGTTAAAATATTTGCATTGTAATAGTTCACAGTATTTCACAGTAAAATAGTTTGTCATTTTTATGTCATGAATGAAGCAGACTCTTAAGAATCAAAATAGTCTTAGAATCCATTCAAGTCGTTGGCATCATCCACACATTAAGAGCAGCCAAACAGAACCATAAATACATTTGTCAACTCTTGGCACCTACTACTAGCATGTGCAGATCAGCTAGATATGTGATAACAACTCCAGGCAGCGGGGTACAAGAGGCAGTTCAAATGCTTGTGGCTTTCACAGTGAAAATCATCCAGCTATATCCTGTCCTGTTCTTTATTACAAGTTTGTACTTTGTCCTCCAAGAGGCCAGAGCCTGTGTCATAAACCCAGATGGAGAGCAGGTCGTGACCCAGCCTGCTCACTCCCACTCTTGATATCTATCTGGCAAAGAATATACCTGGATATGATTTTGTGAAAAGTATAGCGGAAGTCTCGGTTCCTATAGACATAGACAATGGGATTGACCGCTGAGTTGGCATGTGACAAGAGAATGGCCACATTCATTGCCCATTTGGGCTTATCCTTAGCCAGAGTTGGCTGGAAAAGAGTAACACAGTTGACAGCATGTACTGGCAGCCAGCACAGAGCAAAAATCCCCACGATCATAGCCAGTGACTTGGCTGCATGGATCTCCCGCTGGAGTGTGGTCCTTGAGTGGTCCATCAGTTCTGTGCGCTGAAGCTGCTTGCAGGCTACCATGAAGATCTTGATGTAGATCACCATCATTATTAGCAGTGGGGGCAGAACACACCCAAAGAAATTGAAATATACCATGTAGCTCATGGGGACCACATTTTCAAAGAGACACTTCACGAGGCAACAGCTTTCGTTCATGGTTGCATCCCAGGGCTCCGTGCAGTTGTTGATGGCACTGTCTTTGCTATTCCACCCCAAGAATGGAGTCAGTCCAATGCCAAAGGCAAGGACCCAGAGGACAGCAATGACTCCTCTTGCTCGGGTCCCAGTGACCAAACTTTTATACCTGTTCAGAAGAACATCAGGTATGGTCAGTTTATAATCCTCTGCAACCAAATCCCAAGAACACACCATAGCCTCTTAGTTCTAACCACCTTGAGGATTCAACCTCCAGGTCATTACCTGAGGGAGACAGCCAAACAGGAGAACGATTTCAACTTTTGCCATAGTAACTCATATCTGTTCAGTGATAAAAAAGACAGTTAATCATACCCATTGTAGATCCCTTGAAGAACATTTTGTTGTTGTTGTATTTGATAGTACTTGGGTTTTGTCTCAAGGCCTAGGGTTCCAACAGAAGTACTTAACACTTAAGCCATGCCTGCCCCCAAAGGAGCACTTTCTAATGACCCCCATACTGACCTTTGGGTCTAGGTCTTCTGTAAGTTCTAAGTGGCAGAGACACATCAGTAAACAGAATATAGATCTCTTCCAAATGTTAGGTACTTACATGTTAGCAGAGGGAAATGTTTGTGGTATGAAAAACATAAAAGCACAGGAAGGTCAGGACAGGCAGGGATGGTAGCTTTCAAGAGGGTGATGGAGGGTCACTGATAAGGTGACCACTGAACGAACGAAGCCTAAAGAGCCCAGATGGCATCACTCATGGCTCTAAACAAGCACCTGTTCTCCCACAAATAACAGAAGGTTGTTTCAGACTATGGGTAGGTTCATTTCCCAGAAAACTTCTGGGAATCAAGTTCTGGAAGTGCTTTCTCTGAACTGCTAGCAGAACATAAAAATTAGGAAGTAAATATTAATAGCTGGCCCATAATATGTAAAATTATGACATATATTAACTAAATGAAATACAACTTCCTGTAACTGCAGGACAGAACACTAAAAATTAGCTTGATTCACAGTACCTTGAGACCTGACTATGAAAACTATCTAATTTTCCTTTGCTTGCAAGGCAGAGCTCCTCCTCCTCAGCATGGCCCGATCAGTCCTCCTGAGTGCCACAGACCCAACATCAGCCAGAACATCTGTTCCTCCTCATTTTTTCTTCACATCTTATGAATAGGAGGCTACTACACACAGAGATTTGTCAGAGCCTATGTGTTTTCCCTCAACTAGAATGACAACACCCTAAGGTGTCATATTTGAATATAATCCTCCTTATCTGACAGCTTTTACTTTTTTTCAGTACTGGAGACTGAACTCAGAGCCTCATATGCTAAGCAAACAGTCTACCACCTAACCCACACACACCCTCTCAGTGTTAAAGCAATATTCTGCTACTTAGGAATGCTAGATGCTCTGGCCTTGACAGACAAGAGAGCCAGTACACCTTGCTAAGGAAATTAAGTAGGAAATAAATATTACTGAGTGGCCCCATAGTGATTTTATTTTATTTTTTGCATACACATGATTGAGTTTAGTGTAGAGAATGGTAACAAAAAGTGAGGTTGGAGAAAGAAAAGGGATGGAGGCGTCAAGTAGATGTGGGCTTCCGACCCACAGGCCTCAGCAGCCCTGCCATGGATCTGCCCTATTCTTTTGCATCAAGAAGTTGATTTTTCAAGCCATCTCCATGTTGTAAATCCTCTAGCAGGTCTCATAGCTTTCCCATTGTCGCCAGTGACAAGGCTTCTCATAATATTGTTGTCGCCTAATGTCCTCTATGAGCCCATCCATTGTGAGGATTCTGTTCAGCATCCTGCATGCACCTTCCTCATTTCTGTCCTGTACCATCACAGTCCTGGCCATGAACTTCATATGTTTTGCCATCACGTTGGATTTAAGTCTTCACACTGCAAAACCCTCCCACTCTCAACGCCCACCTTGCCTTCCCAGCCCCTGCACCCACCCTTGCCTGACGGCTCCCTGAGGACACAGTGGACCCCGCCGACCTGAGAGGGTTAGCAACCAGAAGTAGAAACTTGATTTTAATTTTTGACCTAGTAACTCAGTGACCTATAGTCTTTTCCCTTGGAGAGTTCCTCTCAACTACAGACAACTCTGGTGTGGAGCCTTACTACAGATGGCCTGCTGGGCTCAGTTGCTCACTTAATTTGTTTCTGGGCTAGTGGATCTGTTTCCAAATCTTTTCTGCTTTCCTCCCTATTCAGGAATGTAAAGTGACTGATAAAATGTTATTCCTCATATTGCCTCATCAGAGATGTAAATGACATGATCAGTCCCTGAAGGATAACAGAAATGCCCTGGAAGCCAAGCATTTAGCATCACAGGGGTCAGGTCCACCAGCAACTTTTCCACACTTAGCTCTGCACGGGACTCAAGTGTAGTGAGCTGAGTGAGTACAGCTGACTGCAAGACAGTCTTGACAGATGGAATCTGTGTGGGGTAAGCTTTCATTCTCTTGATAGTGATTGGGCTAAGATAGATAATGAGATAGTTCTGGCTGATAAAACATAAAAAGAAGTCTGTGAGGGGACCTCCAGGAAAGATTTTACTTCCTGATAAAGGACAAACCCAAGAAGAAAGGTCTGCCCCATGACCATTCTTTTCTACTTTGGATACTTTTGTGGGAAGTTGTAATGCCCAGAGCTACTGAAGCCATCTTGTTACCATGAGTGGCAGGCATGAAGACAAAGCCAAGGACCAAGCAGTACTAAGGAAGGGCCAGGTCCTTGATGACATCTTGGGACTAATAGATAACCCTAGGACCTTCAAGATTCCCTGTTAAATGTCTTGATTGCATATTCCATTTAGGTATTTGTTACCTGCTGCCCAAAACATGAGAGAAGGATTTTTCTCTTTATATCCAACTATTCTTATTGCACAAATGAGGAATTAAAGACACAAACTTTTCAAACATAAATAAGCCAACAGAAGCCAAAGACAAGAAGTTACATCAGGACTCCCAGGCCCATGAGGCCCATGTTCCTTCCATGACACCATGTCTCTTATTTTACCTTTTTAAAAAAAAACAATAGTGGGCACAGAGTATGGAAGAGTTCAAAACAACAAGAGATCCACCCACATCCAAACTTCTCAAAACTTCTTGATCCTTCACATGTGATAACTAATTTTATGCCAAATTGTCTTGAATAAAGAAAGAAAAACAGCTGATTTCATCAGGGGAGCAGGTGGTCACAGCTTGCTCTGAACCCCCATCACCTCCTCTCTTCCCTTTATAACTGTGTTGTGCTAGGCATTAGAGGCCTAATTACCTCAGGGAATATAAGCTAATGGGACAGACAGGAAATAAACAAGTAAATATACAAATAAGCCATTAGGAATTGGGAAGGGATAAAAAGACAGTGATAAGAGACAAACAAGGAGACTGACAATATAGGATGTGAGAGAAGGCCTCTTAAATGGCAAGCTAATGGATGAGAAGGGATGAAAATGTGAAGGGTGGAGAGAAAAACAGTCCAAGCAAAACAACACAAGCTAAGGTTTCCCATCAGGAAAGACTATTACTTCCCCTCAAGAAGCCAAAGGAAACACAAAAGAGCTAAGGCGAGGCAAGGGCCAGCTCCTTACGCTATGGGAGCCACTGAAGGCTTATAAGCAAAGGCATGGTACTGGTGATGCTAAGCTGCAGACAGCTAAGCTTTCACAGCATTTTAGGGGAACAAGAGAAGCAGAGAGATGAAGAAGGAAATTTTCAGTTAGCTGATTCACGAGAAAATATTGACTTGGCTAGGCACTGGTGGCACATGCCTTTAATTCTAGCTACTCAGGAGGCTGAGATCTGAGGCTCACAGTTCAAAGACAGTCTGGGCAGGAAAGTTTCCAAGAATGTGACAGCAATACAGGAGACAGAGAAAGACTAGCAGACCAAAGTATGGCAGCCAGAAAGAAGCAGCATATTTGAACAATTCGGGGGGGGCCCTCAAAAGTTCCCCCACTGGAACTGGAGATACGATGCACACAGTAGCACATTTGCCTAGTATGTACAGGGCCTGGCTTCAATACTCAGCATCAGAAAGAAAGGTGAGAGTGTACAGAAGGTAAGAGTGTGATGTTGGGAGGATATTCTGGAAAGAGGTGTGAAGAGAACCAAGATAGAGCTGTATCCCATTCCCTGGGGTTCGGTGAGTGGGTAAGAGCATCAGTACCCTTGGGGAAGAGGCCAGATTTGGGGGAGGGGGGCAGCACTGAGAGGAGAGGGCACAATGCTTGGAAAGGAGAGGTGGGAACTTGAATCCATTTAGCCAGGAAGCTATACAGAGCACTGTGACATTGAAAACTGATTTCCCAAGAACTGAAATACTTACCCCACATCTGACACATACAATCGACCCACATCTCTACCTTCATCTAAAATGTTCCAATGGCAATTAAAACTCTTACAGAACCATTTCTCCACCTAAAACCTCCCTAATTTTTCTTTCTTTTTTCTTTTCTTTTTTTTTTTTTGCCAGTCATGGGGCCTGAACTCTGCGTCTGGGTGCTGTCCCTCAGCTCTTCAGCTCAAGGCTAGTGCTCTAGCGCTTGAGCCACAGCACCACTTCCATCTTTTTCTGCTTATGTGGTGCTGAGGAATTGAATCCAGGGCCTCATGAATGCATGGCAAGCACTTTACCACTGAACCACCTTCCCAGCCCCTCCTCCCTAATTTCCTAATTCCTTCTTAGTTTCCCCCTAACTGGTAGATAGTTTTCCACTCTATCAGCTTCTGAACCACACAGATGTCAAAGTTTGGGGCAAATGCCTACAGATCCCTCCTCCAAATGAACCATAATACAGCACAATACTACCAGGGCTGAAGACCCTGAGCATACCACTCTGTGCACTGTACACACCCACTGTGCCATGTCCCATGCAGAATAGCTGCTAGCTCCTTGGTGACACATAGGGAGCTGAAAAACCACGGCTCAAAGAGATGAAACCATTTTCCACTACCACTAAGTTACTGTAACACAAATCCAATCTAATCTGATTCCAAGTTTTTCTAATGTAGTCATTTTCCTGCTTACCGACCTTCAGTGCTGATCTCACAAATCCTAGCTCCCTTTGCCATACCTGGCCAGGGGTCAGCTGCTTCATATTCTTTCCCCAGACACATCTGCCTTTGCCAGAGCCATTTCCCAA